TAAAGGAGCATGACGAATCGCTAACCACTATATGGGCTTAATGCAGCTATAGCTGAACAAATAGACCCGTCCCCCACTAACAATATCAAGTCTAGCCGAACCCTCAGTCATCCTAAAAAACCTATTACCAAAAGAAACAGCCAAAAACAAAACGATAACACCGAATTTCTTAGTAAACAGACTACAAATGGGGAAAATGAATTTAAGCAGGATAAACTTATTGAGCAGCTGAAACCAATCTTCTAGCGCGGTGTTCCGACCCCTAGTCACCCATTTCCAGCCTGGCGGGGGTTCAGGAGGTGGGCGAATCTTCATCCATTCATCTTCTTCCTTCAGCACCCTGATCTGCCAATGAGTCGCCTACATCCTTTGATTGATGTAATGATCCTGAAACTAATGATATGAATATATGCAAATTTTTGTTCAAAAAAAAGTTTGTTTCATTGAACATCTGGTCGAATTCAAATTTTGTTTCTTTTAAATTATTCATTCATGGTTTGAGAATTTTTGTTGACACGCAAGATCTGAAAATAAAAATAAACATAAACTGCACAACAAGTACTCACACCATATATTATTTATTCAAATGTGACTGTTTAATGATTTGCATGAAGAATAAGGAGGAAAACATTCTTATTATATCACTAAAATTTATTGCTTGTTCGAGAGTAGGACTACATATGTAATTTTATTGTACGTGTAACACATAACCCAATTGAATATGAAAGACAGCCAAATCAAATAGGAACAATCAATATAGATAACTACTCGATTGTGTCTTAAAATAGGAGCCGAGTATTATATTAGTCGTATATTACCTCCTTCCCAAAAAACTTTGCCATTTCCAAAAATTAGAACCTTGATTTTGATTAGTATAATATTATAAAAGCTATAAACTTTATACTACTATGAAAGTACTTTTAACAAAGAACAATTCCATATAAATTTTATATTATAAATAATTTTCAATAAAAAGATATACTCGGTCAAACTTTTGAATATACAATGGCAAAATTTTTTGGGACAGAGGTAGTACATAGTAATAACTGACATAAATTTTTTTATTTTATTAAAAATAGAAAAACATATACATGCACAGATATGAATGGTACCACACATCATTTTAAGAAAAAGAATAACTAGTTATGTTCTATGTATAAACACACATGAATTTAAGTAATATGAGTGGTAATTTTCTTTAAGTATAAGAAAAATGTGAATAAGATGTACAGTAACTAGTTTTATTGGCTACTCAGCCTACTCTCTCTATTCAAAAGTATATAATGGTTTACCTAATAATGAGTTAAAAAGAACTAGTATAAAGGTATACTCTCTCCGTACCCTATTTAAGTTCACACTTTGACTTCACACAGATTAAGAAAATAAATTTGACTTTACTGTGAAGTGCATTGTTTTGCACTATTTGGACACTGTTTTTCACTGTTTTGGTGTAGATTTTTTTGCTAAAATGGAAATGTGAACTTAAATAAGGGACATCTTGAAAAGGAAAGTGAGAACTTAAATAGGGTACGGAGGTAGTATAATTTAGGTTTATAGAAAGTTAGAAACTATTGATGATTTTATAGGGCTATCCAAATATGAAGGTGTTTGGAATTGATTCTGCTTATGCTTCCTTTTAAGACAAAAGTATAATCAGAGTCTGTTTTAAAAAACTGGCTTCCCCAATTTCTAAAAAAAACTGCTTGTAGGAATATTCTTTACCCTTAGAAGTACTTTGACACTTCAACCCAAACACTTCAATATCTGATTATACTCCATGAAGGAGTAGAAACATTTTTAAGAAGTAGATCCAAACATTCCAATATAATTTAGAGTTGTTGAACTAGCAGGAGAAGAAGATGTTCAAGTTTTTGTATGAATGAATACATATTTAAAAGTCTCCGAGGAATAAAACAAGAGTCGTACCCAACTACGCAAACTATTATTCTAATAAATGCAAATGAATAATGAAAGTGTAAAATAATATAAAAAAAATATCGAGAAAAGGGTCAGTTGAGTACACCAACTTGTATGAAGTGGAGTAAAGAATACACTATATTGCATTTGATCTTTTTAAGTACACAAATTTGGAGTTTTAGTGTTAATTGAGTATACTTGTTAGATTAACACGTTAATATAGTTGAGTCGACTAACAGAATGCCGAGTAAAAAGGTGTAATGGACGTGGGTTATGACACCGACCTTCACGAAGTCGACCAAAAAGAGAAATATGACTTTCGGAAGTCGACATGCGGGGGGCGTCGGCCAGCAGAGATGCATCAACCAAGGATAAGTTAACTTGCGGGGGACTGACGTCGATCAAGGTGAAGTCAATCAAGTGGTTGGGGGCTGGGGTCGACCTTCAAGAAGTTGACCTATTAGCATTCTGTTACCCAACTCAGTCGTATTAATGTGTTAATGTAACAGGCGTACTCAATTAACACTAAAAATCCAAATTTGTATACTTAAAAAGATCAAATGCAATATAATATACTCTTTACTTGAGCTCATACAAATTGATGTACTCAATTGACACTTACCTTAGGGATGTCAAAAAAACCCGACCCGCAATGACCCGCCCTGCCCCGAGACATTTGGGGCGGGTCCGGCCTGCCCCGTCTTGCAAATGAGGCGGGTCCGCCCCGCCCCGCCTATACAATGGGGCGGGTCCGGGTCTTAGTATTGACCCGTGTTGCCCCGCCCCGCCCCACCCTGCTCAATATAAAAGTGTACATACTTTTTCTTAAACTATACTACAAATATACTTCAACATTCATATGTGTGTATACAATAAATATTATTATTTTTATCTTATAATATATTAATATATATATTAGAATGAGATGGACGACGGATTATCAATGTATGCGTTATATATAGCATTTTAATACATATATTCAATTATTAATATGATTAAATAGATTAACTATTCAAGTCTGAGTAATTTTTCCTCAATTTTTGAAATTTTTAGCGTATCATGAATTTGATTTAATATATTAATTTTTAATTATTATTTAGAGATAAACTTTATGTAGATTCAATTGGTAACAACTTCACACAAATAGAAATACATATTAGCTAATTAGGTTACGGCGGGGCGGGGCAGACCCGCCCCACCCCGCATGGGGCGGTCACGGGTCAACAAGTTTGGACCCGTGCAGGTCACGGGGCGGGGCGGACCCGCCCCGCCAAGTCATGGGGCGGGTCCGGGTAGGGATGTCAAAAAAACCCGACCCGCAATGACCCGCCCTGCCCCGAGACATTTGGGGCGGGTCCGGCCCGCCCCGTCTTGCAAATGGGGCGGGTCCGCCCCGCCCCGCCTATACAATGGGGCGGGTCCGGGTCTTAGTATTGACCCGTGTTGCCCCGACCCGCCCCGACCCGCCCCGCTCAATATAAAAGTGTACATACTTTTTCTTAAACTATACTACAAATATACTTCAACATTCATATGTGTCTATACAATAAATATTATTATTTTTATCTTATAGGAGTAATATATTAATATATATATATTAGAATGAGAAGGACGGCGGATTATCAATGTATGCGTTATATATAGCATTTTAATACATATATTCAATTATTAATACAATTAAATAGATTAACTATTCAAGTCTGAGTAATTTTTCCTCAATTTTTGAAATTTTTAGTGTATCATGAATTTGATTTAATATATTAATTTTTAATTATTATTTAGAGATAAACTTTATGTAGATTCAATTGGTAACAACTTCCCACAAATAGGAATACATATTAGCTAATTAGGTTACGGCGGGGCGGGTCACGGGTCAACAAGTTTGGACCCGTGCAGGTCACGGGGCGGGGCGGACCCGCCCCGCCAAGTCATGGGGCGGGTCCGGGTAGGGATGTCAAAAAAACCCGACCCGCAATGACCCGCCCTGCCCCGAGACATTTGGGGCGGGTCCGCCCCGTCTTGCAAATGGGGCGGGTCCGCCCCGTCTTGCAAATGGGGCGGGTCCGCCCCATCTTGCAAATGGGGCGGGTCCGCCCCGCCCCGCCTATACAATGGGGCGGGTCCGGGTCTTAGTATTGACCCGTGTTGCCCCGACCCGCCCCGCTCAATATAAAAGTGTACATGCTTTTTCTTAAACTATACTACAAATATACTTCATCATTCATATGTGTGTATACAATAAATATTATTTTTTTATCTTATAATATATTAATATATATATTAGAATGAGATGGACGACGGATTATCAATGTATGCGTTATATATAGCATTTTAATACATATATTCAATTTTTAATATAATTAAATAGATTAACTATTCAAGTTTGGGTAATTTTTCCTCAAATTTTGAAATTTTTAGTGTATCATGAATTTGATTTAATATATTAATTTTTAATTATTATTTAGAGATAAACTTTATGTAGATTCAATTGGTAACAACTTCCCACAAATAGAAATACATTAAATCAAATTTTAATGTCGTCCCACAATGAGATGGACGACGGATTATCAATGTATGCGTTATATATAGCATTTTAATACATATATTCAATTTTTAATATAATTAAATAGATTAACTATTCAAGTTTGGGTAATTTTTCCTCAATTTTTGAAATTTTTAGTGTATCATGAATTTGATTTAATATATTAATTTTTAATTATTATTTAGAGATAAACTTTATGTAGATTCAATTGGTAACAACTGCCCCGCCCCGCCCCGCATGGGCGGGTCACGCGGGTCACGGGTCAACAAGTTTGGACCCGTGCAGGTCACGGGGCGGGGCGGACCCGCCCCGCCAAGTCATGGGGCGGGTCCGGCCTTACCTCAAAAAATATCTCTTAGGACTTTAGGAGTATGTCGGCCGATGTCAGATTCAATTGTGGCAAATCTGGGTGCCTAATTCCATATACTCTATCAACTAGGGAGTATATTAAAAGTTCTAGTGAAGTGCAAATACATGAAATATAATAAAATTTTGATACTCAAAATTATAAAAGGATAAAAAAAAAACTATGAATAACGAGCTTAATTAAGAGTTGACTGATGAAATCTATCAAACTTGGATTTGAATTGTTAAATTTAGCACAGCTTCATAAAACCAGTACCCCAACCAGATATGCAAAGGGAGAGCAAAAAAAAAGAAAAAAGAAAAAGAAAAACCACCCGCACCTCCCGGCAACACCGCATCGAACGCTTCTCCGGGAGCGTGTCGCTCACTCGCTTCTGTGGCACACTGGCACCAGTATCAGGGAGATCAACGCTCTAAAATCTAGGCGTCTACCGAAGTTTCAGCTCACATTCCTCACTTTATCTTCTTTTCTTCTGTATTTTTTCCAGTGGCGTACTAATACTGGCTCGAAGAAATGGAGGCGAGGAGAAATGACAGTCCGGTGTATACGCGCCATTGGAGAACCGAATCCGAAGTGCTTAACCCTCCGGGAGCTGCAGCATCTGCCGCGCGTCCGCACCATGTTCGCTCCTCCTCCGTCTCCGGCATGTCCAGCATTAAGCGCACTCAGAATGTCGCAGCCAAAGCCGCTGCTCAACGGCTTGCTCAAGTGATGGCCTCCCAAGCTGCCACGGGCAATGACGATGATGAGCAAGAAGATAGTGATGATCTCGGCTTCCGATTTGCTCCTCAGCCTCTATCCAGAACTGCCTCCGGTCCTCCCCCCAACAGTAACTATAGAATGAATGGTGCTGCTGCCAAGGCATCTGCTTCTTCAAGTAGGATCAGTGCCAGATCTTCTTCTCCGTTGGTAATTCTGAACACAAGATCTCTTTTTTCCCTCTTCATATATCTGAAGCTATTGTTGGATGCTATTAGATACTTTACTTGGATTACTCTAAAAAAAGATACTTTACTTGGATTTTGGGTTAGTGCACTGAGGTAACACTTGCTCTCAACAATGCCTAGCCTGTGACCCTTTATTCACATAACGGAGTTTGAGATATTAGTAGTTCTTTTTAGTCTAAACAGTTAATGATGTGTCTGATTAGAGTGAACTCGACAAACATTGTATATACTCTGATTTAGTGGTACAAGTGTAGTGATACAATGAGTCTTTATTCTTAGTTTTGTAGCGTAAATGTGCAAGGGCTAGGATATACATTTGCATGATTAGAACAGCTGCATTAGTTTCTCTTGAAATCATAAATGGAATGTTCTGCCAGGTGCCAGCTTGTTCATGAGTCATTATGTTCTGCCCTAAGGACTTACCCGCCTCAGTTTTACATGTCTCATATCGCATTTTCAATGTTCAATTATGCAGTTCTTGTTTTTAAAATTTAAGTGTAATGAGATTGTAGTTGAACAAGAAGGCATTTTACCATTTTTCTGTACAGTTGTTGTCACATATTACAATACCTCTAGATGCTAATTACTTTAATTTCTTGCTATTGTAATTAGCTAGCTAGGAAAGTGGTGGAAGAAGCTCCATCTCTTCAGTCAATGTCAGCTGGGAGACCTTTAATGTCAACTCGTCCCGCACCAGCAGTACCAACTAGCCGGCCATCTTCAATGCCCATACCACCAATCGATGCTCCCATCAACAAGCCACAAGAGAAAAGGTAATCAAGGTGCAACCCATTTTCCTTATGAGCTAAATTATAATGTGGACAGTATCACAGTACTTTATTAGTGCTATACAGAGTATGGGAGCAGTTTACGTTTTTTTCAAAAAACTGCACATGCACAGCCCCCCAGCTTAAATGGTGAGCTCTTACTATTGCCAGTTTCTGTGTCAAGACTCTAGAGTGAAGCATAAGGTTATATCATATGCACTGCCCCCACCATGGAACTCTTACTATTGCAGTTTCTGCCTCTAGACTATGGAGTGCTACATAACTACTAACTATCAATTATGGCCCATGCTTATGCATGCTGGTGTTATTTTTTTTGGGGGGTGGGGTGGGGTGGGGGGTCATCTCTTTGCATTGACTGCTGACTGCTTATCTTTTCCCGCAGATTCTCATCAAATCTGGGACAAGTAAATTTAAACGATAGGAGAGATCAGCATGGCACATCTACACTCCATGATGAAGTGAGAAAGTCTTTTCTACTCTTCCTATTTTTCCTACAATTTTCCAACTTTTCATACCCCCTAGAAAACTAATCAAAACATGTTCAAATGAATTGCATTCTATTTTCTATAATATCAAATTATTTGAAATCGGATTTGCTTTATTGCTCTCCATATATAAAAACCAATGTGAATGGTAGGTAACAATGTGAATGGCAGGTAAAATGGTCGCAGTTATTTGGTGGTAATGGTGGTGGTACTAAGTGGACATACTTCGGAAAATATACCAATGTGATTTGTCTCCAGCACTTCCATCAAATAAGAGAACATTCCAATTACTGAAGAGGCACATAGTTGACATTATTTTGTCAAATTCACTGTATTCTATATGTGCATAATATTCTATATGTGCATAATATTCTGATGCAAGATATAAGAGGTTTAGGTATTGTCTTGATAATACCATTTTTTTCCTACCAATCTAATTTTTCCTTTGGCCTCATGTGCAGTTTGATATGCTACAAGAAGAAAATGAGAATCTTCGTGAAAAGGTGGACTTTTCAGTTGTTAGTTTTCTATTCTTTCCTTTTTAATTAATCTAACATTCTGACAGTGACCCTGCCTACAGCTTAGGATTGCAGAGGAGAATTTTAGAGAAGCAGAAGCTAGAGTTATGGAGTTCGAGAAGCAGGTTAGTCAATAAGTGTATAATGTTAATGTACAACATGTACAGGAGATGGTTTGTTTATTTATTTATTTATTTATTTATTTATTTGACAATTAATCTGAATAATTTTTTTCTTATTTCAGGTTGCTGCTGTGGGAAAAGGAGTGTCATTAGAAGCCAAGCTATTGAACAGGTCACACAAAATTTATGAATTTGTTACAGAAGTAATAAGTTTCTTACTTTTTCAACTGACTTATAGCTAATATTCTGCGTTTAATGTTACATGACTGAAACTAGTGTTTTTCATATGCAGAAAAGAAGCTTCTCTACGCCAAAGGGAGGTAATTTTGGAATCTTTCTAATTAGATGGTCTAATCTTGTGTTTGTGTTGCGTAGCTGGTCTATTACCACTTGCCAAAAAGAAAAGGGACTAAAACCATTTGTTGCATTAAATTCACTCATTGTTTGATTTAAATTTTACTTTCTTATGATTGTAAGCACTAAGCTATTGTAGGCTGCACTAAAAGAAGCAAAGTCAAAAGAAGGGGTAGATGCAGAGCTTGCAACCCTCCGTTCTGGTGTAATGGTAAGGTGTCCTGCCATGCAGGGCTGCATATAAGTGTTGCTGTTTCTTTTGCATTCTTCGGCCTCACGTTTTGACTCATGGTGCTTTATATGCTATAGAATGCCAAAAAAGAAGCAGATTCTGTTAATGATAAACTTCAAGTGACTCAATCTGAAGTTAAATCGCTGCGGTCTATGACACAAAGAATGGTTCTAACCCAGAATGAAATGGTTTGTTGTTGTGCTTTTTTGGAGATCAGCTAGCTATTTGTAGTGCAACATGCTGCAAGATTTAAGTTAAAATAGTAGCTTATTCATATTCCAGGAAGAAGTTGTTCTCAAAAGATGCTGGCTTGCTCGTTATTGGGGTTTAGCTGCTCAGTATGGTCAGTTTTTGCCTTTTGCATATTTTGTACTGTAATTTCCCATGATGTGCATGTTGATTTTCAATATCAATATCAATCTTATAATGTAAAAAACTATAGTAATTATCTAAACATATCACTGTCTCGTGATATCTAACATGCATGTCTATGATAAGGACAACTTTGGAATTTCATCTCATTGTTCCTTCTTAAGAAGGTTGCGACGGACATCTAGCCAGGGCCGGTCTTGGTATAGGGGCAGCCCGGGCTACTGCCCAGGGCCCATCAGGCCATAAGGGCCCATAAATTATATGTGTGCAAGTTTATACTACGTATATTACTCTGTGTGTTTTTTGTATTTTTTACTACGTATAATATTGTATGCCCTTCTGCTTGGATTCCCCTGGCGATTGGCGTTCTACCTTCATTAAGCACGGGAGTCGAAATTATAATTAATTAGCAAGGAAGTCGAAAGATCCCACAGTCCCACTTTGAAATCGATACCGCATCTGCGATTACACAGTCCCACTTTTTATTTGTTCTGCTGCTACAATTGATGGTCACTTCGGCAGTTCAGTGCCCTTGGCTAATCGGCACTTGGGACTGCTCACTTTGACGGCGAAGTTTTTTGGCGACTTGGCTATTCTACTACTCACTGCTTTTCAGCTCTCAGGTCTTCTCTAATCGATTGAATCAAGCTTCAGAGGGTCGAGAAGTGTGAACCATAACTGCACAAGTAAATGCACTTGCTTTAGCTTTTAAAATGTGAATTAGAAGGGTGTTTGAATAATTCAATCGAGTAAAACTATACACCGTTTAACCGGGTAAATTGTTTTTAATACAGGTAGTATGAATTACCCCGTAGAATTTAGAAGGGATGCTTAAATAGTCAGTAGCAGTGAGCCACTGACTAATACGAATACATTACACATGAGTTGGTTAATTGTTTCCACTTGATTACTAGAACGTGTATTATATTAGTATTAAGTGTGTTTGGTAATACTTTTATACTTTTTGTAGGGAATTAAATATTTAAGTATTGCAAGCTTTGGTATCGATATACTACGTATTTTGAGATTCCTTTTGTGAGTGTTGCAATAATCTCCAGATTGTGTCTTTCATTTTCTTAATAGATTTGTTAATAGAGGAAGTTCTTTATATGATATTTGGATGTTGATTAAGTTAACAATTTTTTTGATAATGTTAGTGAAATTAGTGATGGTGGGCCTTTTTCCGAGTTTTTTCCTGGGCCCAAAAATTGTCAGGACCGGCCCTGCATCTAGCCTTGCGAAGAGCATTGCTACAGTAGGTTTGCTTGGATTTATAGCATTATCTAATTAGAGACAATTTATTGCACTGTAAATTTTGTCTCAACTGGCTATCCCAATGATTGTTGAACAAAAAGCAGTTTGGAATATGTGTAAAAGGGTGAGAATAGTTGTAAGAAGAATGTCTTTCCCGTAGGGATAGCAATAGGGGAAATGCTACGTCATTGAACACTAATTTGTAACTCTACTTTAGTTTTGATGTTAAGTCAACTGAGAAATAATATTTTTTCAATATTCAAAGCATAAAAAGCAAAATTTGATTAAAGGTTTAAAGAGCAAGTACGGGGGGTAGGGGTAAGCAAGTTAAGTCCTGCCACTCCTGCATGCACAAGAAATTGCACAAACACTGAAAACAACCTGATCTCCAAAAGTTCAAGTGAAACTAATGTCAACAAACAAACCACTTAAAACCAAAGCTATCCCTGATAACGCCGCACCATTTGAATTTAAGTAAAATGCTTTTGAGATGTAGTGCAGAATGAATGAGAATAGTAAAAAGAGCGTCGCTCCCGCAGGTGATAACTGTAGGAAAATTAAATGCTACGTCATTGAACACTAATTTGTAGATCGGTCTGCTTTAGTTTTGAAGCTAAGCCATCTGAGAAGTGATTTTTGAATCTTTCAATGTTAAAAAAGCAGAATTTGATTAAACGGCCGGTAAAAGGGGTTTACATGTAGGGCACCATGTGTTTGATGAAAAGCGTCATTGAAAATATAGGATTTCAAGTACTTAGGGAAACAGGGTGAGATTCAAGGCTCCCTAGCCTCTTCCAAGGTAGGGGAGTGAATCCAAGAAAATCCTCCACTGATTGGTGGCTTTTCTTGTATTACCCAACTATTCTTACTCGTCTACATAATCTACCTATTCATCTACATTACTCTAGCTATTCACTTCCAAGAGTCTTGGACAATGTAAATGTGAAAAGCTTGAAATCATAGAGAAATAGAGCTGTAATACTTGTAAGAGGTATTATGCTAAAAATGGTGAAAGAAATGTATTGACGCATCAAGGGGAAAACCCCTAAGAACACAGAAAAACTCCATGTGGTAGAGGTAATGAGATACTACGTACATTACATCATTACTTGTGCTGTTACTAGCTGCTCGGGCAAGGGATGGGATGTGGGTATTCCGGTTAACGACGTAGGTAACAATGTTGCATATGTCGTTATCAATCCGGGGACAAAAACAGGCACACAGTAACGTGGAAGGTAACAATGTTGCCTACGTCATTACTGCGTCATGGTTTTGTGCGGAAGTTAAGTAACGGCATACAAGCCTGTTACCGGCCTGTTCAGCCACACAACGACTTCTCCTAGCCGGTATTTTGCTTGTTTCAGTATTTTGCCCTGCCCTTTTTGCTCAGGCTTGCTTCCAAGTGGTCTGCGGGGAGCCTAAAGCTGAATACAATCCATTTATTGCTCCTGAATGCTTGCAACATTGGTCTTATCTTCTTTATGGATCCCAAAAGCGCATTAGCTCAAAAGATTGCAATAATAAATGAACAAGTGCCATAATTAGGGGTGTTTAAGTTATCAAAACACTAGTTATCGCCCAACATATTTAGGCATTTGGATTAAGGTGTCGATGATCTTATTTGTTATGCAGGTATCTGTGTGGATATTGCTGTCACAAAGCATGAGTATTGGTCATCTTTCGCCCCTCTTCCTTTTGAAATAGTCCTCTCTGCTGGGCAAAAAGCTAAGGAAGAATACTCGCAAACAGGTTAGTAGCTCTTACTTGTAATCCATAATCTTTAGTCCAAAATTATATCTTACAGTCTTGATCTTTAAATATTCTTTATTTCTTTCGTGATATATTTCATTTTGCGAGTAACTAATTAGCTATGTAAGGCTAACACTCAGCATCATAAATTTTACACCACCAACCTCATTTAATTGGGATTGAGGTGCTAAAAATGATGATAATGATGATGATGATGGTGAAAGCCTAATACCTGTGTAATTGAGCAGGAGATGACAATCCAGAAAGGGGCAAGCATGTTCAAGATTTGAGTGATCTGACTGGTGAAAGCAACATTGAGACTATGCTTTTAGTTGAGATGGGATTGAAAGAACTTACTACATTGAAGGTTTGCCACTTCATTGAGCGTCCATGTTTTTTTAATTAACTCATGATTTATAATTTTGGATATACTTTATCATACACTGATTGTATACATTCATGGATTTTATAACCTAATGCTCTACTTTTTTTCATCTATCACTACTGAATAACTTATGCATGCTCTGAGTCTATGACACCCATTATTAGCAATTTTGCACATTTAACAAAGGGTTTCTTCATGAATTATGATTATAGTAATATAGCTTCTGATTATGCCGTAATATATTCTTGGCATCGACTAAAATGATGTATGGTCCGTAGTTCTGCTTTATAACAATCTTTGCCTGCCATAAAAATATGAGTCATTGAATCTACATTCTCAATTATGTAACAAAATATGCTTTTCAAAAGATCACTTTTAACATTCAGTACTCATTGGTAGTTGTATGACATTCCTAATAAGCTCTATGTAGTGGTTTTCCAATTTGTTATACTTTGTTTTACTGTAGACTTTCAACTGTAAAAATAAGTCTAACGTATTCTTCTCAACTCAGATCGATTTGATAGTGTTCCTTTTCATAGGTTTTGTAGACCCAAATCCCATGATCCGTCTTTTCTGGATGTTAGTGCTCCTTTCAAGAGGGTTTTGAAAATTTTACAAGTGTTTAGAAAAATACTGATCCATTACATTATGCTTTGGATTAAATTAGGCTCCTCTGATCTAATAGAAGTTTGAGTGTGGATAATGGACTATAATAGAATTTTGGATGTTTTTACTTGGACCGGTTTCAGTCCTAGACCAGACTTAAACATACCAGACCAGAGTTAAACAAACCAGACCAGGAGGTCCAGGATTAGACCAGACTTTCATAGTTATAAAATACACAGAGACCAACATTTACCAGGCTAGACTATAGTTCAGACCAGACTTAAACAAACCAGATCAAACCAGAACAGCAAATTTCAGTCCAAGTAAAAACATCCTTAGTGTGCAACTAACTTGAGCTTGGGTTTGCCTAGATTTTTGCTATTGCTTCATATATTAAAACTTTTGATATTACATTAAACCTATTTATGATGATTCTTTCTAGGTTGAAGACGCAATTGTAGTTGCACTGGCCCAACAACGGCACATAAACTCTTCTAGATTGTCAATCTCAGGTTGGACTTCAACATGTATTTGCTTGGGGTGGATTATCCATGTTGTTTATGATATGATTCTCATGTAACCCCCTCCCCCCCACAGCCTAATTGGCCCCTGGCTCCTCTTTTCATTCTGTACCTCTCTGTTACTTCCTTTTATGTTGTGTTTCTTTTGGTGGTTACTAAACTTATGACATAAGACATTTGGGGGACGTTTACACATTCTATATAGTAATTAGTGTGTTGCATCTGCTTCCATTATGACAGATCTCAAGTCACCTGCCAGTGATCCCAAGTATATGGAAGCAGTTGGTTAGTTTTATCAAATGTATCTTTATTTAAGCGTATTATAGTACTTTTTCTTGGCATCATATTGTTGTGGTTCTTGGCATCATCATCACAAGGCTCAGTGCATAGGGGATGTCATTTCATCATTTTAATTTCATTGTCACAATGTCACCTTCAAAATACCAGTCCCACACATTGTGGGCTTTGGGCATGGTATGTCCTGATTTTTCTATGGACCATAGGGGAGATTACATCTTAGTAAAATATTTCTTCCTTCGTTTTGTCCTGGTACCTTCATACCCCCACAATAGGTCTTGCATAGTTTATTACTTTCACTGAATTAATTGGTCTATATAAATTTGTCAAGGCAGGTTTGAGCTTTGAATCTTATGAGACTTAGTTCTTTTTTTCACAAAATAGGTTTTTGGGTCTGCTAACTTTCCAACTGTTGGGCCTCATTTTAATTATTTTGTCATGGACCTAGGACACATGCCCTTGTTGCCCACCCTAGCCGGCCATGACTTTATGGTACGGGAACTCAAAAGGACAGAAGTGGAGAGACTCGGTTGCACCAAGCCTGTCCACACTTTGTTGTCACCCTTCACTTTTCTAAGTTTCACTGTGTTTTTTGGTTCTGTACTCCTCACCATCTTTGGTGACCAACTCTGCTGGTGTCATCCTTCCAGAAAACTGGAACCTAAGTTTTGAATTTGGAATTTTGACCAATATGTGTAGTTTATTACTCTTCTAAATTGATTTTAAATTCATCTAAATCATTTGCATGTTTCTTTTTACAGAATTGAGCCCCGAGGAGTCTGAGGATGTGCTTTTCAAGGAGGTTGACATCACTCTCTTTTGGGTTATATTATACGGAGTATATTTTTTTATAGAACCCAATCCACCATTTGTGCTAGCCCCTATGTTTCCCTTTAGAATATCTATCGAGTATATGTGCTTCTCCTAATTCAAGCAAACTATCTAGTCTCAGTCCAATGATTGCCTCCCTAAAGGAGAGGAGGGCTTTTTGCTTGCTTGTTCATTAAAATTTTGTTCATATTGGATCCATGTAGGCATGGCTAACTTATTTTTGGAGGAGAGCCAAGACCCAAGGCATAGAGGAGGAAATTGCCAACAAGCGGCTTCAGTTTTGGATAGGCCGTAGTTCTCAGTCACCAACATCATATGATGCTGTTGATGGTAACCCTTTATGAAATAAAAAAATACTCCGTAATAATTTTTCAGTGACTATCCAAACCCATTTTATGTGTTTTATGCTCAATTAAGAGTTACTTTCATTGTCTAATGGGACTGGGGATTCCATTTCAGTTGAGCAAGGCCTAATGGAGCTTAGGAAGTTGGGCATTGAGCGACGACTATGGGAGGCATCTCGTAAAGAAACTGAGGATCATGACTCTTCTCTTACTGGAAATTAATATACCCCATCAGACAATGAAAGAGTTCAAAGGAATCTGCTTGTCCGCAAATTATTGTATGTACTCCGTATATAGTTCTTCACCTCTTTTCCTTCCCACATCATTTTTCATTGCCAAACAAATGTTGTTTTTGTATATTAACATAAACTCATATTATTACTATACGTTTCTCAGTGTCTATTTAGAATTCCTCAGAAAGATACAAGGGTGTAGTGAAATCTTCATCTAATGTATTGAGTTATTGGAAGATTTACAAGTAATATGTCCACTGTTTAGGTGGAGCGTTGGCTGGCTACTCCCTAAATATGGGATGCTTGCTAATTAAGTTCGCATTGTCTTATGCTCAATTTATCGTACGTTCCAGGTGAATCTAGATTCTTCTAAGTTTAATTTTAGGTTTTATCTTGTTTGCTTGCCTTTTTGTGATAAGAATATATTTTGGTGAACTTCCAAAATCTCAATTACTCAGTTTTGAAGAACTTTCGAATAGGGTATTTTCAGAGGTTAAGTTCTCTTTGTAAGTAAACTCATATTTTCGCCTAGATCAACCTCCATCTATAAAATTTTACTACATTCACTAGAGTTAATCTATTAATGATATAAACAATAATTTATATATGCATCTGAATTCTCCATGTTTTTTTTATGGAATGAATTCTCCAGGTTTTTTTTTTATGGAATGAATTCTCCAGGTTCAATCACAGCTTAGTTTTAGCTAATTTTACAGGTTTCACAATTTCACTCTATCCAAACGGACCATTAAAGTTGCCTAAATCTTGTTCTATCCAAATTTCCAAACCATGTCTCTAGACTCTAGTGACCAAAAACGTTGTTAGAAACTTGGGAATTGGGATGCTCGGTAACCTATTTTGTCTAATGCTGATCAAGTTTTCCGATCAGTTACATAGTAAGTTAGTAACAACTAGGGCTGCACATCGGGCCCGTTGGGTCGTGTTTGTTATATTTTATGGGTCTACCCAATTTGTTCGGGTTGACTCTTAACCAACCCGCGGTACGCAAAATAAGTTGGTAAGCAATGCATGAACGGGGTCGGGTAGGGTCGGGTATTGAAAAAAAAATCCGGGTTGCATTTTTCATGTGAAAAATTAATTTAACCAATTTAAAACTCGATTAACTTGTTTCCAAAACACACAAACAAATACAAGTACTCGTATCTTTTATAAACAAAAACATTAGATAATAGTATTAGTATTAAAACATCCTTCTGTAAAGGAAGTCATTTAGAAGGAAACGTAAATATATAATAATGACCTAGCCAAATTGGTAAATGCTTAATTATAATTCTAGTATCATAAAGTCCTAGATAGAGCACATTGGTCTTAAAATTGAAATTATCCAAGAAAACAATGTTGCATAATAATAGTAAAATGAACTTCGGCCAGGTCGGGTTCTATCGGGTTTGAGATTTTAATTCTGCAACTCTACCCATTAGGTGCGAGTTTAAACATATTTAACTCATGAATATATTTAAAATCATATACCCGATTAAAGAGGGTCGGGTAGGGTTAGTTCGGGCGGGTTATGCGGGTTCGGATTATTCTTGTGCAACCCTAGTAACAACGATGTGGTCCGCCGTCAATTGAACTCGGAGCATTTGGTTAGGTCATAGAGTTTAGTGTATGTGATGCATTTGAAATGGTAGATATATGTAGCTGATTTTTTTCCTTTTAAAAGTGAAAATAAACACTAAAGAGCTTGGAATGAACCAAAAGACAAACTAAAATTATATGTAAAAATAAAGAAAAAATTATATGTAAAAATAGCTAAAATGGTCATCTATAGTAACTTTGGTCAATACAGCCAGAAAAGTAACTCTAACCTTACTTTTTCAGCTTATTACACAATTCAGCGCACGAAATCAAAAGTTATGTGTGATGAAAAAATTGGCTGATAAGCTTTGCAAAGGATAGCTCCACTTTAGTGAACTAGCCTGAGCCTAAAATTAAACATCTTAATTGACTAACCTTGAAAAGGATAGCTCCACTTTAGTGTACTAGGGCAGCATACAAAAGGTGGGATAAAACATTTAAACTTTAATAGATTTGTAATTACCTATTGGTACTCGCTCTAAAAAAAACACTCCCTCCGTACCCTTTTAAATGTCCTGTTTTACCATATTGGGATGTCCCTATTTAATTGTTTCATACCTTATTTGGTAAAGTTTGTGTGCCTCGAAATCATTCATACTTTATTCTTACTTTATCAATTAATACGAACTATCAACCATACAAACACACTTTTCTTAAAACTCGTACCCCCCTCTTCCAGGACATTTAAAAGGGGACAGAGGGAGTATTACCTATTGGTACTCGGTAGTGGTGGATTTGAGTCCCGGTCCCTGGCTTCAATTTCTCATTTAATTTTCTGTTTTGGCAATCGAATCATTTGGAAGTATTTTAAAGATAATGATGATATATGTTGAAAAATGTGTTAAAAATTGCATTAAATGTCTCACTTCCGGTTTGGGTCGGATCAAAGTGATTTCGAATTCGCCTTGTTAAGGGCTTCAATTCGATATGTGGTACACTCAAAACTGTTAAAGCATGTGTCCCACACCAGAAAGCTATAAAACAATTAAACACTATATAAGACTTTGGGTTACACCTCCTATCAGGTAGACCTTTTAGGATGGAACCTCGAGTCTTAACATGGTATCAGAGTCAATTCCGGTTGTGGTTTGACGTGCTTGTTTAGCACCCATGATTATGGGTAGCTTGTTAAGGGTCTGTTTGGCCCATTTATACACCCCGATATTGTCCAGCCCGGTTCGGGCTGAGGGAGCATGTTAAAGTATTTCTCCCACACCGAAAAACTATAAAACAATAAGACACTATATAAAGCTTTGGGCTACTCCTCCTATCAGGTTGACCTTTTAGGATGGAACCCCGTGTCTTAATATGGTATCAGAGCCAATTCCGGTTTTGGTTTGATGTGCTTGTTTAGCACCCATGATTAAGGGTAGCTTTGTTAAGGGTTTGTTTGGCCAGTTTATACACTTCGATATTCTCCAGCCCGGTTCAGATTGAGGGGACGTGTTAAAGCATTTGTTCCACACCGGAAAACTATAAAACAATTAAACACTATATAAGACTTTGGGCTACTCCTTCTATCAGGTTGACCTTTTAGGATGAAACTCCGAGTCTTAACAAAAACGGACAACAGGTGAATGAGAAATTCACTCTCAAAGTTCACTCGTCGAAATGGGGAAAACTAGAAAAAAAGGTGGGTTGCTAGTGTAAATTATCCCACACCGGAAAACCTAAGGTTTCTATTTGAAGGAGTTGACATTTCTAAGTACAGAGACTCTCTTCGTGCGCAAGGTACCGATCAAATTCTGAAAACAGAGAAGAAAAACTGCAAATTGCGTGTGCGGGCGACCTGCAGACATCATACACGAATTATACAAATACGTTTTAAGAAAATTTTAGTGAGCACAAATTTGGTTTTTCTATTTCATCTTATTTAGGTTTCTTGGTAACTTTATGACATCATATTTAAAAATTAAAATTGCGTTGTTTTATTTCAAGATGACGAAAATTTTACAATCATTAGCCGACCCCAGTGGGGCGTGTGAATGTTACATACAAAGGCTGGAATTGGCACATTTGCGAGTTAGGACATAATTATTCATACAACAAAACTTTGTTTTATTTTTGAATTCGCTCAACTGCTCAAGTATTGTTACTTCCCCGCTTTAATCCATAAGTTTTGTCCATAACCAAATGCAACCCAAACAACTTTCATAGTTCTTCAAGGGTAAAACAAACTTTTTTAGCATTTTGCCTTTCATTCACCGGATTTTTAAGCCCCTAGTAATGACCTATCTAGAGCCCTACTACATACCTTTCTATTAATGTGTTAGATAGCATTTAAAAAAAAAATGGAAGGTGGTATATGTAAGATGTTAAGTTGAAAGTCAAACTTAATACTTGTTTTTTTGAATGGTCAAACTTAGTACTTATTTAATCAGAACTCAGTTCATGTAAAATTGTCAATTATATTTATATAATTTCATTTAAGCTACGCACATATTAAGCAAATGCACGTCAAATGCACGTACATATTAAGAAAATTAAAAATCCCGAATATTCAAGAATATGCATTCATAATTTTTTCTTTATAATCAATGTGTCGAGATATACACTCACATAATTATGTAATTCATGACCTACCCTCTAAAAGCAAATCTGAATTTTATCACAGCCAGTCTCATCGATATTACATTGGTTTCAAATGACGAATTCAACATGACTTACATCACATGCCCTTTGGAAGACGGTCATCCTATCACACGAATCTGTTACCTTCATTACCATGTTCTCTCTTGTTAACCGTTGAACTACTCCATAAAGGTAGGTAAAAACCGTAGAATCACAGGGAGTAAGACCTCACTCATTAGTCATTTCCCCTAGATGGGAATTACTTATTTCCCCTACTCTTAATCCATACTCTGATGAGTGAAACGTTGTGAAAAATCTTTACTTTCCATTCTTGTTTTTCCTTTTTTTCATCCGCCAAAAAAATTACTCCGTATGTTTTTACCATTTAGTTCATATGATCTCAGATTTGAACAAAACGTTTTTAATTTTTAATCACATTTATGAAAAGCCGTGTCAAACTCTCAATTGAATATCATACGATAATTTAGATCGTATTAAGTATTACTCGTATATGCAACCAATTTCTAACGGAAGTCGGAAGCCAAACTCAAAAGCATGATTACAATAATGTTGTGAGTGTTTATGACAAAATGTCTATGTAAGTATGTAACGATGATTCTTATAATGTTGTAGATTGCCAATGATTAATATATTCCTGATATAATCGAGTCCTCAAAACTAGAAATTTAGAATTTAGTAAATAAATGGATTCTAACAATTTAAAAGAGTAGTCAAGTACCTTGTGGTCTGATGGCCTCACTGTGTGGCACTCCCAAAGAGGAGGTCACAGGTTCGAATCTCATCTCAGTTCAAGGATGTTGGCATTAACATTGAGCAGATATTATATAGGTTAGAAAGAATTGTTCAAAAAAAACAATTTAAAAGAGTAACGTTTTTGATTAACATTTTGTCTTAGCTATTGTGTTCCTATCAAAAGATTGATAAAATGAGAAAATGATTTTGTTGAAATTTATGAAATTCTGATTGAAGTGACTGAATTGGTTGAATCGGCTATAAATACTGTATCTAATATTTTGTTTTTCATGACGTCCAAGAAAATAGTTCCCACATCATTTTACTATGAGTTTCGTAATAAGAACACAAAGAGGCCAGGATGGTAAAATTAATGGAACTAATTCACAACTACTGCTAGTAGTGACATTATAAATTTGTACTTGAAAGCTATTTACAGTAAGCAAATTAAATTGACAAGGAGAAAGTGACAAACGTGGCATTGCTTCGCAGGAGTGATGTCGACAAGCTCAGAGCAAGCAGCGTAATGTACGTCTTCAAGTCGGAAATAAGTGATTTCAAGGAGATCAAATTGTGATTTTTATTAGTAAAAAAAAATGTCATTTAAACTTGTACGTCTTCAAGTCGGAAATAAGTGATTTCAAGGAGATCAAATTGTGATTTTTATTAGTGTTACTAGCTAGTGTTGGCTTTTGCCATTATCTTTGTTACATTTTTGTCAAAACCTTAATATAGGTCCAAACACAACTTTCTGATAGAAGCCTATCGATTATTAGCACTATGAATACCATTCATTTCTTACATGTTCAAAACCATACTCAAAATACATGACAATTTTGAATGTATGATTATGAATGTTTTCTTTTGGACTGAAATTTGTTGGTCTGATCTGATCTGATCTGAGACTGAAAACAGTCCAAAAGAAAACATTCATATATGATTAATTCCTAATATATGACTAGCACATATGGAATGAAATAAGGAAAAGAGAACTCCAGATGATATAAATGCATGATAGGAGTAATTAAACACATAAAGATTTGGCCATACGTGATATGATTTTCTCCCCGATTTATTTAGAAGAAAATGAATATTATACATTGTACGAAGATTTTAAAAATTAGGCCCCTCAATGGATCAACATATTGATGCATGTAAGCAAGTAAATTCATGGAGCACGTCGATGTATGTATTCACTACACATTGATGCGATAAGTTGATAAAGAGTTTAATCAATGGATTTTGAAATATGGGGATTCTACTATCTTGTGGTAGAATGTTTTTGTATATAGAAATCTATCAAAATTCATTAAAATCATCCAAATAAGTATCAATAGAAATCCATGTAATGTTTAAGGATACTCCTATTTTCATGGATTTCACAGAAATCCAAATCGAAGACACCTGAATTCTGATGGATTTCTAAACTCCATTAAAATCCTCCAGTATCCCAAAATTCACTCATTTAAACATTATTTGAGAAATTCAATCATTTACCATGTTAACGTGACTATTATACTCTTGGTGTAAGAATTGTTTTCCGTTAACCATGCCTTATGTGCTGACAAGAAAGCTAAGTCTCGAGAAGTATTTGTTTAATACTGATCTAAACTCTCCATTATACATTACAGAGTATTACTTATAAGCGATCGATTTTAAAAATATGAAGGTTACTTGAGGATATAGACACAGTATACTAGTACAATCTCACATGAATCGACAAAGGTTATTTTCTCGAACCATTCTTTCTATACACATATTTTGTACACCTTTTGTGTACATCTTTAATTGTCTGCTTATAGGGCATCTTTCGCACAAATTGCTTGTGTAGACAGACAACTACTTAAGCGGAGTATACACAAAATCAAAATGTGTACAAAATATGTGTAACAATAGCGTTTGTGTATTAAAATCTCTCGTAAGAGTATAACAACTATATAACAAAGTCTGTTTCTAAAATATATAAAAGTTAATTACTCCCTCCGTCCCTGAAACAACTTCTCATTTTCCTTATTTGGATGTCCCTAATTTAACTTCCCAATTCCTTAAATGGAAAATTATCTACACCAAAACGGTGCAAAACAGTGTCAAACAGTGTTGAAACGGTGTCGAAACAGTAAAATTTACCCTCTAGTAAATTTATTTTCTTAGTATATGTGTAAGTCAAACGGGAAAGTTGTTTCCGGAACGGAGGGAGTACATTGATACATTTGTTTTGAACAAACATAAAAGCAACACCAAAATTCTTTTTAAAATACCCTGTAACATTTGGGAAATTGGGATGTATGAATTGGATTAGAGTTTGTCTGTTGTAAAATACACACAGAATATACATCTATCAGACCAGATTAGATCACTTTGGTCATCACTTTGGTTTTGGTCATCACTTTGGTATCGGCGTATCGCTATCCCAAGTATCCATGTTGTTAAGGCTTTGAACTATGGGCCCGTTTGTTATGGTAAACACTTTGCGTGTAAAGTGTGGAGAAGTAAACATTTTACACCGTTTGTTTTAATTATTTAATGTAAACTGTAGGACACTTTTTTAAAAACATTTTACACTGTACCGTGTAAACTATTTTACGTGGGGGAGGGTAGTAAACTGGATTACATCCGTTCAACGTAGAATTAGCGGCAAGAATTCTCTGATTTTTTCTCCTCCTATGACGGCAAATCAATACGGAGTATTGCTCTTCTCCTCCGATGACAAAAAATTGCTCTTCTCCTCCGATGACAGCAAAGCAAGTCATTTTGAAGACTCCATTATGACTGCAAAGCAAAAACTCTCTTTTCTCCTTGTACGTAGTATATAAGAAAACAAAATCTGCTCTCCATCCAAATTAACTTCTTCTAAAAAAAACAGGTTAGCTTCTACAATAGATATACGTAGTATATACTACTATACTAGTATCTATATATATATATATATATATATATATATATATATATATATATATTCGAAAATTGAATCTTTAGGTTTGAATTATATTCTAAGATTTGATGTTTAGTTGAATTTAAAAGCCATGTTTAGTGACTCTAAGAATTACGGAGTATTTCTAGTATTTGATTAAATAGAATAGTAATTTTTTAGTGATTAATCTTTTTCTAGTTGCTTCAAATACAATTACAATTTTGTAGTGATTAATCACTTTGCAGATGATGATCTAGTTGCTCCACGTTAATCATACTCTGGCACGTTGAATGAGCTATTTTGTGAACATTTTACCTGTAAACTTATTTGACAATAAACAATGTAAAGCGTTTGCGTGTAATTCAAAAATCGATTACACACATAGTCAAACGTTGTATTTTTATTTTACATGCAAACTATTTTACGGCCCTAAACTTTACATGCAATCACTTTGCATGTAAAGTTTTAATGTGCAAACTAACAAACGGGCCCTATATACAAATTAAATTACTCATTACCCAATTCGACGTATAATTGTGTAAGGATGTGTTCAGGTCCATTATTTTGAATTTTGCTATTCTGACATGCTCTAATCAAGTTAATAGGCCTTTTGTCAATACTGTTTTTCGGCTTATCAGTCAACTTTTTCACCAAACACGCAAACACGTAACTTTTGCTTTCGCGCGCTGGATTGTGTAATAAGCAAAAAAAGTAAGGTTGAAGTTACTTTTCTGGCTATATCGGCTGAAGTTACTGTATATGACCATTTTAGCTATTTTTACATATAATTTTTTCTTTATTATATTAATAAAATATATTTTAAAAACGTTTTTTCTTAAATCAGCAGAATCAGCCAATGCAATCACTTCAGCCAGAACTTCATAAATTTCAGCAGAATCAGTCAAATCAACAGATTTTTGTGGTACCAAACAGGCTCTAAGTGGGGGCATTGGCATCTGGTGATTCTGGTTTAGCTTCAGGCTCTAACACGTGATTTTAGCTTATTAACCAACTTTCTTCTCATATAAGATAACAATTTTTTTTTAATTCCGTGCGATAAATAGCCTAAATTGTGCAACAATTAAAATTAGTAAAATTGAACTTTTCTGGCTACTTTTCATCAATTTTTTGTTCATTTTATTAATAATTTTTTTTAAATATTTGTTTTTTCATAATTCCACATATTCAGCCGCTTCAACCCCAATTTCCCCATTTTCTATCCATTCATCAAATTCCACCATCAGTACCGTACATGTTAATTTAATATTGTGTTGTAAGTGTGGTCAAATCTACTTGAATCTCGATCAATTTAGTATAATGAAAGCATGTTATAAAAAATGAACTTGTTCAACTAAGTCCATTAATAAGGGTGCTTATGAATCCATTCTTTCGAACTTAAAAGCATGTATAACAATTGTGTGAATATATTTCTTTTCATTATAAAATAAAAATATAACTTTGTACCGAATATTCCTTTATGGAAGCACTAAATATATGCTTTTTGGAAAAGTAAATCTTTTAAACTTGCTTTTTTCAAAGTACTCCAACCCAATCATGGCACTGAACTTTCGTGATCATAAATTCGTAACCATGCTTCATGAATCATGGGCAGTTTGATCACACTCTTACCATGTGCTATTCCTTTTGGATTAGGAGCCCTCTTAATATTTCCTATATCGTTATGAATTCAAATCTGAATTAGCACCATCATTCAGTGACTAACCTAATGGTATCATATTGGTAAAAAGTTTAAAACATACGTAGTAATAAAAGTATCAACAGTTTAATTTGATCAATATAGTAATTCTTGTATCAATAGCAAAACATCAATAAAATCACAAAACAATTATCAACATTGATGAAATTCAAATGGTCCAATCCATGACCACCACCTCGGGGTAGACCGACCAACCGGCTACCGGTTTGAATTCCGGGCCGACCAGTTCGAGTCTTTCAAATAAGATAAGAGTAACATGGAACTGAAACTCTAGATTTATTCACTAGTTACATTTATGTTATGGTATATTTGAGTTTAGATTTTCGGTCCACCTTGTTCAGAGAGACTTGAACCGTGTCCATCCAACACGACCTAAGCCGGATACTCACGCAATGGACAAAATTTTCGCACTTCAACAAATGTCTAACTGTCTAAGCCTTATCTTGCTAGGTTCAAAGTAATACGGAGTAGTATAAGACTTGTTTCAAAGAAAACGTACTTTTTCATGATGATGATTTTTTTATGAAAAAAAAGAACTTATTCCCTTATGTATCAAAGTATAATAAGCTCATGAATGTGTTCTACTATAGATAGAGTATAGCCTTAGCTTGTACCCAATTCTTTTGGAGAAATAACATTTCCTATAATTCCCAAAGTTCTATTTTTATATTGAAAAACTGGACGAGCATAACAGCTAAACAAAGTTTGGTGTTTCCATTTTCAGAAAAGTGGAAACAAAAACATTGTAAAAAGGAAAGCATTACAAATCTAATCTAATAATAATATGAAAGGCTCTTTTTCAAGAAACTTCATGATTTTGCTTTCTAAAAAGCCCCTCTTTACTCATTACGTTCAAAAAAGAATCAAAGCATTTCCCAAACATGGAACCAGACAATAACACTGCAAATACCATCAACTGGTAGTTGAATACCTACAAGGCCATATGGCCAACTCTATGTTCTTAAAATCTGGACTAGACATCTAACTCCTTTCATTTGATTTTTCTTAAAAACTGCAAATATGAGGAAATAATTGTTTTTATGTTCATAAAATAGGTTCGCCGTCATGATCATCATCATTACCTATGTGACACAACGGCTCCCACATACGGTGGGATAAGGGAGGTTGGATGTATGCGACCTTACTCCAGTACTAAAGCACACAAAGACTGTTTCGAAAGAACCATAATGAAAATTGCATCGAAAATTGTATAATTGCTTAAACCAACTGCTACTTCATAATAATGAAGCGTAAAGAGTTTAGTGGGTCATTTTTCTGTATTTCATTTTATTAAAAAAAAACGATCTATCCAGCTCTGGAAGGTAAAAATAGTTAATGCATGATTCTTCTTCTATGGGTAAATATTAAATAAGTGAGTCCTTTTTGTAAAAAAATAATGACATTTCTATTTGAAAAAATGTACTCCCCACTCATGAGGTCAGGCAGTTTTTAGAGCACCGGGATAATAACATACCTCTCCATGATCAATAACATTTTCCTTATAGTGACCATATAACATAAAGAAATATTATCAGCAAAATGAAGACAAACAGAAAACACAAGAACTTCCTGTTGACCCAAAAACAAACACTACAAATGATTTCACAAGAAAAGCTGTCTGAAAAAACAGACAAGCATACACAAACCCTACCATTAAATAATGCAGATGTCTCTTACATCATAGTAACATATAAAAAACAAAATAGAAAGCTGTTAGGAATCACTGAATCAGGCATTTACAGGCTACACTTAATCTTCAAATTTGCAATTAAGGTACATTAATATCGTGAGTACTACTAATAATATCAGTACTACTAGTCGTGGCATTCTGTGATCGGTCTAAAGAAGGAAACCTTGGAGCATACTGGTTGTTTCCATGGCATAACCCAAGCAGTAGAAAGAAAGCCCCAAAAACAACCTAAGGCTCCCATAGCAATACCACTAGAAGCTATTTAGTTGGGTGAGCATAGAGACGAGCTCATCGCTGGATGGACGGTCTGTGGGCAGGTCAGACAAGCACACAACTGCGATTTTCACAGCCATTAGCATCTCGTCTTCTTCCTCATCCATGTCTTCCCCAAGAATACGTGGGTCCAGTGCTTCCCGGGCTGAGCCCGCTTCCTGAAGTCGGTGAAGCCACCGTCCCAAACTTCCTCCAGTTGATGCATCGTTAAAAAAGGGATCCATTGGATTTCGACCGGTTAATAGAACCGCCAGTATGACTCCAAAGCTGAATATATCACTCTTATCAGTATACCTACTACCGTTAAAAATCATAAGATATTCAGTGCTCAAACAGAGTTTCAGAAAGATAAGAAAAGAGCAGTGCAGTTTCATTAATGGCTGTTATGATTAAACAGAGTTTAATTCCGGTAGTTTCATAGTTTCATGAAAATCTATGATCAATAAACAGTTTTTAACAAATATGTCTCTCATTATGTCGTGACCATGCACAATATTCAATTTTACACTGCATAATGGATCCCTTTCAATCATATACACCCAAGAAAATAGAGAAAATGAATCATCATCATCATTCATCATCACCATTACCCCAATGCCGCAAAGGCTCCCACCTACGGTGGGGTAAGGGGGGGTTGGATGTAAGCAGTCTTACCCCTATACTAAAGCACAAAAGAGGCTGTTTCCGGATGACTCATGGAAAATAGAGATAATGAATATTGACTAATATTGTGTTCGCTACGAATCTTGAATTTTAGTATTCTACAGTGTATCTGACATAACTGGTTGCAGAAATTATAATTCATATTTCGAAAACTAGTAATACATTATAGTTAATTATATCCAGTATTAGTATTTCAATGACAAAGTGCTTAATAATTAAAGTACTAATAAATTTTTAACTAAATGTGCTTAGAGCTCCCAGCGGCCTAGTCACCCAAACATCTAAATTAGGTGACTTTCCAATATTTGATTCAGCAACCGAGCACATATTGCCTAGGTGACCAACTTTTCAACACTTCTTATAACAACGCTTTTTATACTACCCCTGTCGTTTTTTCTTTGTTCTGTCCTTCCTTCTTCCCAAATTACATTCAATTTCTTTTTAAGAACTATGTTTAATATTGTTTCTCTCTTACCGTGTCTGTACACAAACTTTAATCAAATAGTTTTCATTTTCTTAAAATTTGGGCCAAATAAAAAAATGAACTTGCAGTGTTAACGAATTTTAGACAATTTATGTCTCTACAAATCGATGCCTAACCCAACTGAATATGGGATAAAGATGAATAAGTCATAACAAATTCCACGATTTACCCAAATTTAATTAAAAGACTCAAACACACCAAATGCCATTCTCTGGATGGTTGTGAGCAACAAATGATACTCTGTATTAACCAGGGAATGCAATTAACAAGTACACCTAAACATATCATTAATTTCAAGTGAAGCCCAGTTATGTTGATTACCTGGAGATCTGGTAAGTTTCAGGGGGGCTGTAGATTGAAGCTACTCTCTCAAAGCTAGGAATGATTTTAGCCAAGCCACAATCAGCCAACCTTGGCTCACACTCTCCATCCAACATTACATTGGACGGCTTCAAATTATAGTGCAAAAATCTCGGATTGCATGACAAATGAAGATACTGAAGTGCCTTGACGATTCCAACCGCAATCCGAAGCCGGGCTTCCCACTTAAGATTCAATTCGTTTTCCCTCACCCTTCTCAGTACATCTTCAAGACTCCCACTGGGAAAATAATCATAAACCAAAAAAATACGGTTTGATTCTCGAACGTAAGCCCTTAAACTCATTAAATTCCTGTGTCTTAGTCCAGCAAGAAGCTCCAATTCCCGTTGAACCTTCCGCTTCACTGACTTTCTCTGTTGAATCTTAGGAGAACCACCAGATTCAAAGGTTTCAAGCAACTTAACAGCAACAGTTAGACCATTATCAAGAACAGCCTTGTAGTATTTCCCATTAGAGCTCGAGCTGAGCAACTCAGGTTCATTCGCAAGAGCTGCTTGGAGACTCTTAGGAATGATTTTGGGTGAAAAGACAACAGGGCCGTTCAGAATTGGGGGTTTGCTTATGTACCTTATGAAGCACCTGACTAGACAAGCAAAGAGAAGGGCAGAAACTAAACCTGTTAAGATTCCTAGAAGAATGCTTAGCATAATCCTCTCAAACCTGTTCTTGAATTGAGGAGAGGCCCGTGGATCACTTGAGCTGTTCTTGTGTACCCATGATTGACATTGCACAGAAGTTATATGAAAGCACAACAAAAACACTAATTTCACACTTATGCCCCAAGAATTGCTTCTGGGGATTTTCATCTCCTCCCCTGGAGGCCTCAAATATCTTATTGAGTCACAAAAGACTTAACATTCTAACCTCTGGCATCAACTGAAACCAGCAGCTGTTAGGGTTTTGAACAGCAACCAAAATAAAGATACAAACTCAGGGGGGCTTCGGAGCAGCTCAAGATAATGCCCCAGAGAAGGAATATTCAGAATGGGGGATTTTCACATTCTCTGAAGGAATCTTGAAGCAGCAAAACACAAAAAGTTTCCAACTTTACAGTAAATGCCCAAAGAAACCAACCTAGAAAGCTTCAGAGCGAAAGACACAATATGTGTATTGTAGCAGAAAGAAGAGCTGTCACAAAATCTTCCCAATGAAGAAAGATGGAACCGGTCAAGTAGCCTCAGAGACGGAGGGTGGAGATAAAAAGTGTGAAGAACTTGGGGAAAGCCCTTTTTTCTTCAATGGAATAAAACATTTGCTAGAAGGCACGTATGAGAAAATGAGGGGACCAGCAACAGGCATATTCCTTCACCAATGATGCACCTGAAACTCCCCCAAGAGAGGAAAAATAAAAGTTTTTTTTAAGAATGAAAATCGGGAGGGAGTAAAGAAATTCAGTGCCAGAATAATGAGGTTTTCTTTCTTGATTAAATTGGAAGTCTATCCCAAGTAGTCTTAGGTATAACTGTTTGTTTATTTCCCTCAAATATGACACTGGTAGTCAGTAAGTGAGTAGAGGAAGAAGAAGAAAGAGCCTGGAGGCGGCACGCTAGCTTTTTTCTATTCCCAGAATCCCCACCCTTTTCTGCTTTATTTCCTTTCGGTCGTACAAATAAAATGTGAATTTTCAAATTTTCCCTAAATTGACGATGTGTTGTCAAATCATTCCAAAATCGAAAAAGTTACTCATGAATAGAGTAAATATTACTCCGTAGTTTGTTCCGATGTATTAAAAAAAAGAGTAAGTATTAGTACTTTCGTCCTAAATTGAGTTGCTAATTTGACTTTTTTTAGTCAAACAATTTCATTTTATTTGCTTAATTAGGATGTCTTTTTTTTATTATAATCTCATTTCGAGTTTGCAACTTTAAAGAGAATTTAATATAATTTCCCTAAATTTTAATTATTAAAAATTGAGTTAATTGTTAATAGAGAAGTTTGACTTTATCATTGATTGACAAAAAAATGTTGACTTTACAATACAATTTGGGACGGAGGGAGTAAATGATTAAAAAAAAATGTCTAGCCATATTGTGTTATCAAGTACCCCATTCGTCCCATTTTACTTATCTTATTTTCTTTATAAAGTTGTCCCAAAATAAGTATTTCGCTTCCCTTTTTGAAACAAAAATACGTGATTCACGACATTTCACTTTATCAAACATAAAAAAAAAATTATTTACCAAACACTACCAATTTTTACTTTTTCTCGGCTTACGTGTGAAAAGTGATTTTCCCCTTTCTATTACACAAAAAACACTTATTTTACCAAATACTACTATCAACTTTTACTACTAATCACTTTTTCCTTACATCTCCAGAAGTGTTTTTTTGAAGCAGAAGCAGTTGCAAACACTCCTTTATAACACTTCTATTTTAGTAAACTTAAATATAAAAATGCATAACTAGAATTACTTTACTTTTTCTTCTTATACATTTTCATTGTTTTGTCTTGCTTTTTAGACTCTACGTTATTTGTTATTCGGTATCTCTATCACTCCATTCTTTATACAAAAGGCCAATATTGCAAACATTTGTATGCGGACGGAGCAAGTTATATCATTAACTTGAACTAACCGTAATTCTTCGTTCCACAGTCTATTATCGTAGTTTAAAGTAAATTTTATTACACTAAAAAAAGCTAAAATGCTTTTTTAGCTATTAAGATAAAGGGGTGAAATCAGGGCCGGTCCTAGGGTGCAACAGGGACGACCGCCCTAGGCCCAAAAAAATAGGATGGAAGAATAGAACCAAAAATTTGTCTTCATATATAGCGGGAGTAGGCTTCTTTTTTGTATTTAAGCTCAAGTAATTACGCCTAAGGTTTAATTTTTTGAAAAATTAAAAATTTTAAAACAAATGTTAAAAGGCATGCGGCACGCCTCTTTGAGTAGTTAAAGTCTCTTCACATCTCTACGCTTTATAATTCTTTTAATTACAAAATTTTCACAATATTTATTGTCTTTAACTCTTTGTATAGCCAGTGTGTCTCCGAAACTCCCAATTCATAAACCACCACATCCCACTAACCTAATTACTTCTTTGGATGGTGGTTTCCAAGTTCCAATTACACTCAATTATCTAAGGAAGTAAAGGACTAAGGTTTAATAAAGTCTTGACCGTCTCGCACAATAGTAGACATTAGAGAGCGCCACAAGCCTGCAAATCGCCATTAGCCAAAGCGGTCAGCGGTGAGGAGCCCAAACAGCGGCCAGCGACTAGAACACCTTCTTCTATCAAGGCTTCAAACAATCCGACAACGGCTAGTAAATTATTCTCAATCTATTAGCTATGAAAAATAAATACACCAAATGTTCTTTTGATTTATGAATTATGCATGATTAATGATTTATATGATGCATTTTTTAGTGTCTTCGTAAATTCATATTTGTGTGGTATTGTGCAATTTTGAAATTGAAGTCCTTTATTTCGTTTTACTATTGTGAAGGTGGTTGATAAAATGGATGTATCTGGTTAGGAAAAAGAGAAAAAGAGGCAAAGATTAGAAACGGCAGCCTTAAGTAAGAAGTGGGCAATAGAAAATTTTGTTTTTGAAAAAAAAAAGAACCCCAAAAATTCTTCTCAAGTTTAATCACCTAAATTCTTTTGCGAATGAAAATCATAACATGCTTGAAAATAATGATATAGGTGTAGAAGCCGCAAACATTGAAATTGAGCCAGATAAATGTGATTTAGGTGAAGAGAATAAACCAGTGATGGGTCCTGCTTCGTTGATCGATATTTAGAGATTAATTTTTTGTCTTTGGGCCTATGTTATTCTGTTTCGTGAAGAGAATAACATAGGCCCAAGATAATATCTCGCCCATAGGCCCCAAATTAAAATCGATAGGACCGGCCCTGGGCGAAATTGACATCAATAAACCCTACTTTCACACAGTTACAAAAATTATCCCTACTTGAAAAGTTTGCAACAATAATCTCAACTGGTTAACTGTTTTACAAAAATAAACCAAGTGTTAAAGGTGTTAAGTTTTCAGTTGTTTTTTATTTTAATAAATATATTGTAATGAAAATATATACAAACATTGACAACATTAATCTCGATTCTACTAAAAATTTAATTTAGTATTCAATACTCTACATAAAATATAATAGAAATATTTGAACACTACATAGTACACACTCTTCAAATTCTCTATTCTCTTTTAGTCCGTATCCATATTTTGTTATTCATTATAATAGAGATTTCCTTATCCAAATTATGTAGAATATTGAATATTTAATACAAAAAATTTTGTTTTATTTTTGAAAAAAGTTAAATATTAAATTAAATTTATCGTATAAAAAGGTTAAACTCAAATACAGTACTATTAACTTTTATACATATTTTTGCTTTGATATGTAATCAAAGTTTAGTAAAAAAATAACGGAAACGTTAACATCATTAGCGCTGAGATTATGTTTGTGAAACTGTTAACTAGTAGAGATTATTTTTTTGAAATTTATCAATAGGGATCATTTTTATAAAAGTAGAGATAATTGAACTCAATTTTGCCAAATAAAAACGCCGAATATTAAGCACTTGTATTTTCAAAAAATTCTTATGTTATTTTCACCAACTTTGATTTTTCAAAATTTATTTGAATGAGTTTGTAATGTCATCATCAATTTATTCGATCTCTAATTTGAATCTTACTCGTTCTCACAAATTTTGCATTTTCTCACAAATTTTGCATTTTCGCTGAATTCAAAATTATACGGAGTATTTATATTCTGTAAGGAATAGGGACCTTCATTGCCAAATTAAAGTCCAATGGCTAGGGACGGAGCCGCTTATCAGGTTGTAGTGTGGTGTCAATTGGCGCGACTGTGATTCTTCTTTTTCTCACGGAGTATATAGGTACATGTAATTAAAAAAAGAATTTGACACCTTAGAAAATAATAATCTACATATAAGTATATACTACGTATAATCTTTCAAAAAACTAAAAAATGTTAAATGTCCCACACCGGAAAATTGAGAAGCACTAGAGTGCTATATTAAGCTTCGGGCTCCTCCTCCTATAAGGTTGACCTTTTAGGATGGAACCCCGAGTCATGGTATCAGAGCCAAATCGATCCATGGTGTGGGGCCCCTTACGAAAAATGACGACACGACAAAAAAAATTGATGAACCGATGAAAAAATGAATGACGACACGATCCAAACGAAGTGTCCGGTCGTGAGGAGGGGTGTTAAATGTCCCACACCGGAAAATTGAGAAGCACTAGAGTGCTATATTAAGCTTCGGGCTACTCCTCCTATAAGTTGACCTTTTAAGATGGAACCCCGAGTCTTAACAAAAAATGACACCACCATTTAAAAAATAGAAGTCAATGTATATATTTTAAAAGTTGGAACACTAGCTTAAATAAATTGAAAAGTCACACAAAAGAAAATTTTGGACGACACAAACTCTTACTTCAACAGTCGGACTCCAAATCACAGAAGTACCAATTGCGCAATCGAATAGATGACTCTTTGATGAATGATGTCTTAGTTACTTTTATTGAAAAAGATATATAAACAAAAAATTCACAACATTTTAAACATACGGAAATGATGTGGGTACTTGTGAATTAACACTTTATTTTATGAATGAGAATCTTTGTTATTTTGCTATATATTTTTACACATTATTATATAATACTCTGTATAATATATAGTATTATTTTGCTCAATTGATACCACTGACATGAAATCCTAGCCCCGTCTCTGTCAACGGGCTACCTTTTATAAGTCCTACAACTACTAGATCGAACGTATTTTTTAATTGCTTATTATATTGTAATGCTAAATGTCCAATACTTTTTATTCTATATTTTTGGAGTTGTTACCTAAAATAGGACTAAATTATTGCTTAAATTCTTAAATAGAAGTAAGTATATTTCTATTCCTAAATGGGACTTTTATTCCATATTTTCCCTTTCTAATATACCATTGTATCATAGTTCTCTTGCATAACCAAGGTGAGTATGTTGGTGGCAAGATCAATCTGGTGGTGGCAATCATTCAGGCGATGACGGCCAGATTTGCAGAGGCGGCCAAATCTACAGCGGTGGGCGGCGGCAGACAACGGTACGACGTTTATCCGGCGGCAATAAGGTTTGTCAAGCTTGAGGGGTATTTCATATTTCAATCCAACTAAAAAAAATAACTCTTATTTAGCGATTTTTTAAACTACACTCATATCTTGATAATTAAAGATTCATTTACTCCTAAAATTGGCTTTAGAACCCGTATCAAAGGATACATAGCGAGACCTTGGATCTTTTAAGATTTTGCGCAGCTTCTCACTAGCGGCTTAGCGTCGCGTATGGTTTCATTCCACCAATTATTTGTGCGATTCTTCTTCTCTAGACTTCTAGAGTGCTTTTTAAGTTTAGATTGTTGGTTCTGGTTTTGTGATTTAGACAACTTTCAGATTATCCATTGGATCTCGAAGCAGCGACAAGATTTCATCTTTATTTTCTGATCTCTTTTCTCGACTTGTGCAAGGCAATTTTAAAGGAGGCGTGTGTGCAGCTGTAACTTTTGGAAACGAATCCAAGGTTCACGAAACGATAATCATGCCTTGTATGAAAGATCTAAAGCAACGTTGTCT